CATGGATAATACACATATAATATGAGGGTGCTCAGTATAATAAAGGCAGTTAGTATAACTTGAGCCAGTACAGTACAAGTGGGGTGAGACACACTGTATTATGCATTATACACATAGCAAATGAGTGGTGCTTAGTACAAAAAGATAAATAAGAAATAAAAGCAGTGAGTATTCTCTGTCCTGCTGGAGTATGTATTATACACCACTAGTTGCTGATACCAATGCACACAGGGGCACAAGTTACACTGACTGGAAGAATGCAGGCATGATTTTATTTTTAAGGAATATAAATGAACCTGGGCCTACATTTCCCAGCATGCTCCTGTAACCCTTTCTTGGTAGGAATATCCAGGGCCACACTGTGGCGCTAACAATATAGATCCCAAGCCTCCGCTAAGTGGGAGATTTAGGGGTTTGGATAAGTTAAGTGCCTCCAGCCAGGGCTAAAACCAGATGTTGGTGGCATATAACTCACTGGGAACTGCAATAGCAGTGATTTTGGTACCAATTGTAGCAGACAATAAACCACACAATAAGCAGATATGCAGTAATATGTAATGTAATATATGCAATGCAATAAGAACAGTGAAATAACAATAATACAATGAATATTAGACAATATAAGAAGTATCACCATTTGTATGAAAATGTCCACTGTCACTTTAAGAATGGTGAGTGTGCACACTAGGGGTCTGAGGGGATATAACCCTAACCCTACAGTAATATGATGAGAATTATGTGTTGCAACACCAGATTGATGCCCCCGGGATGTGTAAAGTGAAGGTCTCACCAACTCCCAGTGATAGTGAAAGAAGAAGGATCCTGTGAGGCAGAGCAGATACAGGGAAGCAGTCTGGCAGCTTTAATCCACACTGAGCTTGGAATGCTGGTGTAGGGAAAGGCTTCCTGAATTCCTGAGGATCCACTGTACGTGTCACAGAGGCTGATGGGAAATCCACAGTCCAGATCGGGTGTACACGCTGGCAACTCACTACAGGGCTGAAGTCCTATCTATCCTACAGGGATTACTCCCCTAGCAATAGCTCAGCTGCACTAGTTCCACTCACTATGATGGCTGACTGGAAAGGGTTAACTAACTCCCTGTGCTCTGACTATGGGATTCCCTATATGGGTAAATATTCTATAGGTGAAATCCCTGGCTTCCTACTCAGATAAATCAGCAGGAACACTTACAGCAGAGAGAAGAAATCTCAGGCTGCTGTGCAGAGACCATGCTTTCTTCTTCTCTTCTTCCTGCTTAACCTCAGCCTCACTTTCATTTTGGCTCCAAACTTCTTTCAGAGAGTTCACAAGGTCAGAAGCAAATCCTTCTTGCTGATTGGCCAGGCTGTGGCAGAAAACTGTCTCACTGCAGTGCAAGCAGCAGCCATGTTTTTGGTGGCTCCAGATTTAAAGTCACAGGGTTATGCAGTTAGGTAAAGGGCAAATAACACTTCCCTACACTCCATTAACCCAATGATATGGGTATGACAATATGGGTTTTATTTTCCACTATGCCCAAGAGGGCAGAGCATAATGGGAAGTGATGGGCTAGCCATCCCAGAAATCTCTATTAATGGAAGGATCATGGGAACTGCTGGTACAAAGAAGTAATAAAAGTTGGCTATGTTTCCCAGCAAGCTCCAGTAATCAAAAGATAATGGGAAAGGGTGGAACAAATTGAACAATATTTCCCAGCATGCTCTGTAATTCAGTGGATAAGTGGTAGTTAGGGTTGCCACCCTGCCAAGGCCGGGGCCGGTATTACAAATTTACCGGCAAAAAAACTGACCAGATCCCCCCAAATTTTTTAAAAATTGGT